TCTCCTTTTACAAGGTACAGGCACGGCATTGTGCTAGAGTCTTTACCCGACGGTGAAGCATTTCCGGAGATTTATAAAAAATAGATCTTGGATTTTCTAAATGAAAAGTGATATGGAAATCAAAGGCTGAGTCCACTTGCAGACCTCGGCAAAGCTCGGTCATGCGCTTCACCTTTTTTTTTTTCTTGCTAGTTATTGTTTTATTTTCTCCCCTTGACTTGCGGACGATGGCCGTTTGGAGAGGGCGTGAGTCTTGGTTAGAGGTGTGTGAGTAGAAATAAAGAGCTGTGGGGGATGATAATTGGTGGTAGCTACCGTTGAAGGTGATGAAAGAAGAACCAATGATACAGAAAGAGTCCCTGTTTGGAGCTCGTGATCATGAATACGTAAATTCTCCCTTCACCTGCTTGGATTGGGTTGTCATGATGGCTCTGCCCTTTTCGCCTCACGAATAAAGTTGATTAGGTATCTAACGGGGAGAAGAACCCCGCAATATCACAAGCTCGGCAACCCGTCGGTAAAAGAGCATCGACGTCACTTACAACCAAACCAATCTCTCACCGAGCTCGCTCTACAGATTGAGTCATCTCAAGCTCGTGATCACCAAACTTATTTCCTTCAGGGCTTTCTACAGTTGTAGCATGTGCCACTCTTTTAAGAAACAGTCAGAGGGCTTGTTGTTCTCGGCCGCATGGAATGATGCTCTGAACCCTGGTCCTCCATCTGCCCGGACCACTGGTGGGGCATTGCCTCTCGGTCTAAAGAAACCCAGAGCTGAGGGCCGACGTCAGAGTTCATGGTGAGTGAGAGGGAGAGTTTCTTGTGTTGGTTCTGGAAGGGGTTTAGGGGATAACATGTGAGAGACGATGGGACGGCATCTGGGTTGAGGGTGTGAAGGCATGAATCTACATGCCATGATGAGAATGCACTTTGTTAGTTGGGTATACAGCTCATGAGCATGTATTTTCAACAGATCATGTTATAGATGGAGCAATTCAAGTCAATAATAACATCATATTCACACCTTGAATGCCGCGTCTTCAGCCAATTCATTGCCAAGGTATCCTCCGAGGTCTTCCATTTCCTCACCCCCAATCCCGTTCCCGTCCATTCCCCAACTCCAACTTATTTTTCCCCGTAATCTAGCTCTTCTAGTTCACAATGTGGGGTTCTCCGGACTTCAATCATAACCTTTTGAGGTGTGTAAGTATTATTAGACCCTCTACTAGACTCGGTCCATCGCCGACATGGATCGTGGTCAATGGCATATGCTCCTCTACTCTTGTCTATTCTTTTAAATTGTTTCCCTCGTCCTCCGATTTCCGTCCGCTCTTGTTTCTCTTCTCTCCTCTTAGCCCTCTCTTTCACTTTTCCGTCCCTTGCTCTCTGTCTCGTTTGTTCCTCTTCTCGAAGCTGCCCTTAGACTAAAAGTAAATAAAATCATCCCACCGATCCGAACCTCGGCTCTACGAATTCGGCGCAAACCTCTCGGACCTTGAAATTGTTGTTGTTTGAACTCGGCGCAAGATTGACCGAGAGATCAATTCTGTCGCAATGGCTTCAAAGAATGGAAATGGAAAGAAACAGCCGCCCTCAGCGGCTGTCAACCTCATTGGTATGTCGCAGCCAAAGAAAACGGTTCTCAGAGACCAATTCTCCATGCGCAATTGTACAGAAACTAACATGAGTCGCAGCTGGTGGTGGTGCTGGTATGATGGAAGCTCTCGCATGTCATCCCCTCGGTAAGCTCCAGTCGCAAACCCAAAAAGTCTCACCACCAAAGAAAAAAGTAATTAACATGTGAAATTTAAAGACACAATCAAAGTCCGCATGCAGCTCTCAAGGCGCGCGCGCCAACCAGGTGCCCCCAAGCGCGGCTTCATCAAGACCGGCGCCGCCATCATCGCAAAGGAGACACCCCTCGGTCTCTACAAGGGTCTCGGCGCCGTCCTCACTGGCATCGTCCCCAAGATGGCCATCCGCTTCACCTCCTTTGAGTGGTACAAGCAGATCCTCGCTGATCCTACAACCGGCGTTGTCTCCGGAAAGGCCACCTTCATCGCCGGTCTCTCAGCCGGTGTCACAGAAGCCGTCGCCGTCGTCACCCCCATGGAGGTTATCAAGATTCGTCTCCAGGCGCAGCACCACTCCATGGCGGATCCCCTCGACGTCCCCAAGTATCGCAATGCTGCGCATGCGCTGTACACTGTTGTTAAGGAGGAGGGCTTCGGTGCGCTGTACCGCGGTGTGAGCTTGACGGCGTTGAGGCAGGGTTCTAACCAGGCTGTCAACTTTACTGCGTACAGCTACTTTAAGGATTGGTTGAAGAAGTGGCAGCCTGAGTATGAGAACACAAACCTGCCCAACTGGCAGACTACTCTTATCGGCCTTGTTTCTGGTGCTATGGGTCCTATGAGCAACGCTCCTATCGATACTATTAAGACTCGTCTGCAAAAGGCTACTGCTGAGCCTGGAGTCAGCGCCTGGACACGAATTACTCGAATTGCTGGAGACATGTTCAAGTGAGTCACACATTTCGAGCGAGAAAGATTCATATACTAACTCTTCACAGGCAAGAAGGAGTTCACGCTTTCTACAAGGGTATCACCCCTCGAATCATGCGTGTCGCTCCCGGCCAGGCCGTTACCTTTACCGTCTACGAGTTCCTCAAAGATAAGCTAGAAAAGAGCAACATTTCCCTAGTCGGAGGCAAGTACGAGGAATAAAGCAGTGGCAACAAACCACGAAATCACCATCATCCGCTGAAGCTCTTTGTTGGGGAACCCTTTCACTCAGAAGGACGAACCACGAGAACGCCAGTCAACATATACCTTGAAAGCCGTTTTATATCGTCTCAGTTTCTAATCAATCCACAGTTCAAGTTGCTGTGAAGGAAGCTGAAGAGTCGATCTAGGATGGTAAGATGAGAGGAGAAGGACAAAAAGAAAAAGAAGGATGAAGAGTATAGAGAGCGGACAAGTATACCATGCATTGGAGTGAAGGGCGGCTTGGGTTCTTATTGCGTGCATGCATCTTGGATAAATACCAGCATTTGTAGCTTGGGCAATTGACTTTTTTTGTGTATCAATCTTCAACGTTTATCTAACCGCCCCGTTTCAAACTGGAGGCGCTGAAAAAGAGCACGTTTCACTCAGATCTCACGAACTCAGATTCATCGACCAGGTCGCTTGGGTCGGCTAAAGCCCTGTCGGGCCGCAACCTTGGGATGCAAGTCCTCCAAAACCGACTGCTCGGTAATCTCACTAGGCTCCTCCACCTCAAACTTCTTCTCGAGCTTAAGACCAGCCTCCCGCTCAGCGACCTCCAGGACGGATCGCTTCATCAGTGGGTACATCATTCGGAACTTGATGGACTTGTTTCCGGGTGTTGACGGGCAGGTGTAGAAGAACAGGATGGGGCTCGACTCGGCGCCGTTGTGCGTGTGAGTGTAGCGGTAGAAGGTGAACCGCGGCTCACTTGAGGAGATGGCCTGCGTCAGTTCTGCAATCCCACTTGGAGTGGGTGCCTCGGGGACGAGCTCCACCACCTCGGTATCGGGGTTGATTTTCTATAGAGGGGTTAGTTTATGTGGGATGGATCAGTTCATGGTTCAAGTACTTACCAGCATCGTCACGATTCGGCCTCCGTCCTGGCCAACTTCCTTCAGAGCAGCAACAGCGTCTTCGGAGATAGGCATAGCAAAGTTCTTGCTTAGATGAATCTCCTTGTGGCCTGTTCCGGATCCCGCCTCCTGCTCAGCACGCTTGACCTCGCCCAATTGCTGCTCCTCTTTGGTGAGCGGTGCATCCAGCTTATTATGCGCATCGTGCTTCTCGAAGCCCTTCACGCTCAATTCCTCGGCAGTCGTAGCAAATATCGTCTCTCGGAAATGTTCTGTTCCCAGCTCACGTACAAAGGTCAAGCGTGTTGAGGCGAATAGCATCTTTTGGCGCACCTTCGCCGAGTCGGGTACGTAGGTAATAGCTATGAATCGAGGAGCGGTGTCATAACGACGGAGGATAATGTAGAGCGCGGCATCAGGCTTGAGGTGAGGCTCAAGACCAGAGAGGTTATCGGAGAATGAGCTTGACTTTGAAGGGATCGTAGCAACGGGGACCAGAGCCTCTTTCTCAATGGTTGCGAGGAGACCAAAGGTATCGTCTGACGACAGCAACGAGTTGAACTGGTCCTGCAGCTCCTGAGAGGCTACAATTGTTAGCAGAAGTCTACCGCTAGAGTCCCTGTAGTCTTACCTGAGATTCCGGACTGCATCTTGCCTATCTCATGGGTTGTAGGTGTAGGTATCGATGTTGTCTTGGGTTGCTCCGTCGTCAGCTCTACCCCGCCACTTTCCCCTGCGTTGGTACTCGAAGCTCCAGTGGGGCCGCCATTCATGCATTGATTTACGTCAGTCTCGATTTGCTTACCCTACATTCATCAAATCCTCTGCTATTAGACGTCTTTTGGCGATGCTGGGAAGGGGAAAAAGTCAGGGGCCTCGATTCTAATTAAAAGTTTGGGTAAATTAGCCTAAGCTTAGGATCCAATACCTGTTGCTAAGTTCAGGATACCCTTGCTGAGTTTGTGTTGACAATATCAGGGTCTGATGATTTTTGCTCCCCGAGGGTATCCAAGAGACGGATGCGAGAGACTTAGCTACAGAAGATTCATGAATCACAATCTCTATCTGTAACGGAATCTACTTGGAAATTCGCACTCCGTTGACATTAAACTCCAATATCTCCAATTCCAATCAAAAAGAAACCATCATCACGAATAGGTTAACAGCCTCAGCAAACTCGGATTTGAACAAATGTTCTAAACAGCCTCATAAGCCGTGCATTCTTTTCTCCTCACATTAAGATATTGTACACTGTTGACCTAGACGGCCTCAAGATTGCTTGACATCAACCACAATACCACCCAGCTGCCTAGACATTGCTTCCCTCTGGTGCTTCCAAGAGCATATGAATGCGAAGTCGTATTGCCATACCTCATCGCTAAATAGTCATGATGACCACGAACAGGAGACCGCCAATTGTGCGCAGCATCGACATCTCAAACCGCCTCGACTCTGACACATCCACCTGCGTTGGTGCTACGGAGGGGAGAGAGCCCGTCTCTGTCACCAAAGTCTCACTTGTGGGAGGCTCTGTTCGAAACTTGGGCGGGAGTCTAGGCACCTCCTTCGTAGACTCCGGGGCACTTGCTGCTGGGGCCAACGGAGATACCCTTGAAGGCAGCGTGAGAGTAGACGGGAAGCTGATAGTCGACGGCGAAGGTGACTGCTTAGGCTGATCGGACGAGGTGACGGGAGGATCAGATGGAATGGAAGTCGACGATGGGGGAGTAACTGATGTCACAGGGGGTTGCTGAACGGCCTCAGTTGACAGTGGGGAAGCCTGAACAACCTCACTCTGAGAAAGGGGAACGCCTGGCAGAGGAGACGATGTAGCCACGGGGAGCGCGTCAGAAGCAAATGAAGCCTGTGGAGCCACGGAGGCAGGGACAGCATTGATAGACACAGGCTGGTTCAACGGATTCTCTAGCTGAGGCACAGGTTCGGAAGCTTGAAGCTCAGCCGGTTCGATGATGAACAAGTTCGAGATGCTGGGAGTACCCTCGGGGCATATTCCGCCGCACATGGGAGAGTTGGGGTCTTGAGTACACGGGTAGTTGCAAGAGTGTTCGTCGACCGACTTGATGGCGTTGGCATCATCTCCGCAACGGCAGGCACTGAAAATGTTAGGCTTGGTTTGGCAGTCATGCAATGACTTACTCAGGAGACACCGCGGCAAACATATGGCCAGCGCAAGCGGCCTGGCATGCTTCAGGAGTCAAGATCCCATTGGGAAGAGGGACTGGGTTGCTGAAGCCGGCAGCGTCAACAGTGGCACAGCCCCAGTACTTAAACTGCTCTCCATAAGATGTTTGGCCAAGGGCAGCCGTGACGCCAAAGGCAAAGATGAATAGTTGAGAAAACATGATGAGATGAAGTAGAACACGGAATGAAAGTGAAAGACAAAAGAGAGGAGTTTCGCGGTTCAAGTTTATGGCGAGGATGAATGACCAGAGGAAGATGGAAAGAAAAAATTGAGGGAGAAAGAAGAAGAAGAAGGCTATGACATGAGGAAGGACGTTGAGCGCGTGGTCTGCGCGTGGTTCGGAAGGAGGTTCAGATTTAGCTGATGAGGCAGGAGCCGTGGCTGCACCTGCCTTGCCTCGCTGAACTGCGATCACTGCCAAACTCCATCTTGCCTCGAACCGGGAACAAGAGCTCCTCATGTTTGCCTCAAGGGTGCTGCTTAGTGAGCTTGATGATATCTCTAATCGATGGATACAAATAGGAACACAACTTCACCTCCCCGAAGTCACTGCCGGAGGCGATTCTAAGTGACAAGAAGAATTACGGAAGTTAGAAGAATTCAGGATAGGTTTAGTAGAGTCTTAGAGAGGGTTCTACGAGCCCGATTTATCAGGAGCTTAAGCGATGACCAAAGGGTGCAAATAAAGTAATAAGAATTCTTGAAAAGCCCCCAAATCGACCATCTATATCGTGGTATTTTGAACACCAACTCCGGAAACGCCATCCAATATTAATATTCGTCGGTCCCGCCCATTAGAAGGCCTTCTGCCTCATGATACTAAACAAACGCCTTTTCGAACATAGAACTGAATATTGTGTCCGCGCCTAATTCTCCAGAGTATCATAATCGAGCGTTCTGGACCCTCTACGCTCTGATTCATCCCCAGCTGGAGGATATCCACAGGCCAGGGAAATCGCTTTCCACCGATGATTCACGTCCCAGTGTTACCGAACTGGCGACTGATGGCGATGATTCTCGAGAAGCCGCCCCAATGCCTCTCTAATTTCCAGTCGGGGCTGGCGCTGCTGGTGCTGTCAACGCAGCTTCTCCTTGAGGTTCCCACGTACCACCGTTCTTCTCCGCAAGGTCTCGCATGGCATTCGCGTCAAACTTGTTGAAAAGAGTAGTGATTTCCGCAACGTCGCGGTCAATTTGCGCCTCCTTCTGTTTGCGATGTTCATCAGCTCTGTCGACAGGTCCAAACACCCAGAGCTCTTTGATTGTACGAGTGAGAGCAAGCAGTTCCTTGATACTCTCGTACTGTTCCATGTAAGTGATGATATCTCATTGACGCGCTGTGACTTACCAGTTCGTCAAACTTTCTTTGTGTCCTTAAGCCAGCTGCTGCCATGACATCGGGGTCTCTGAAGTTAAGCTTATTCGCTTGAGCCTCGTAGTCGCCTTGCTTTTCCTTGTCCATTCCATTTACAGTGACGCAATTTATCAAATCGCGGTAGGACCTGAGGATCTCGGAGATGATCTTCTGGTATTTGTCTGAGCGATGTTAGCAATGTGATAATATTCGGTCATGAAGATCTTACCCATCAAATTGGAGGGAGTTGATGTATCCATCTTGAGATATGTACTCTCTATAGTACTATTGCTTGAGAGTATCACAGACTTGTAATGTTTTGATGGATAAGTGTAAGTGTGATGTTGGTGAAGCTATGAATCTGTTGTTAAGGTGAGCTTCCACAGCAGCTTCAGGTTGAGCTTGGAAG